TTTAGCTCAGGGTTTGTTTGCATTTGCGCACCATAAAAATAAATAAATACATTTATAGTCACTTTTCCTATCCTGTTTTAAAACAACACCGTGTGCAGATCAGCTTTACTCACACATTTGATTTTGCCAAATTTTGTGTGGGTTAGAAGGAATTCCGCATTAATAGTTAGGAGACTTTTTTCTGACTTTGCAGGAATAATTAGACATTTTGAGAAATATGTTTGTTTGCTCTCTTCCCGAGAGTTTGATGACAACATCAGTATCACTCTCACACCAGTAAACATGAAGCTACAGCCCGTAGAGGACAGCTTCTGCCCTCAGGCTGCGAGACTACTAAATTCATCATCACTACTTCATCATTCAAAATAGTATATTTTGTTTTTATGACTTATTAATGGATTTGACTGTAAATAATTTTTTTATATTTATTTTTTGTTTGTTTTATAAGTAGTATAAAGGGAACTACAGTCTGAATTTCATTATACAACCCTGCTTGTATTGTAAAATTAAATAACAAAAAATGCACTGTAAAAATTAGCTTTGTGCTTGTGACGGACTACTTCTTGGTCTTGGTCAGACCACAAGAGGTCATTTTTAGACTTTGCAAAAATTTGACAAACTAGATATAACGTGTTGATTAGTGATCTTTAAAGGTGCTGGTAGTGGGATTTTTTTTATCCTTGGAGAGAGCCTGCCAGTTATTTCCTCTGTTTCCAATCCTTCCAGTTAACTTGCTATCTATCTAGTCACTGGCTCTAGCTTCATCTTCAGTGTACACACATGAAAGTGGTATGGATGTGAATTTAAGCATATGTGGAACTATTCCATTACATGTGCACAAAGGGACTTTCAAGGGTTAACAGTTATACACCAAAACAGGAAACAATAATATCTGTTTGAATTGGTGGGGATGAATACAGAACCATATTTAGCAACCCCTGACAACCGTCAAATATAACACAAAGGCTCTCTGAGTGCTGCTATGGGTGCTCTGCTCAATAGACCATGGAGAAATGGATACGTTATTCAGCATGTGTAAATCTACATCTCTTTCTTTGTTCTTTTTATGTTCTTATCACTTTTGTTTTGTCTCGCAGATTCCCTCTTGTGGATTTGTCTTTTTTTTTAAATAATTTCCACCTCTCTTCCTCTGCCCCCCCCCCCCTCTCTCTCTCTCTCTCTCTCTCTCCTCCACACACACAATGGATCCATGAGGTGAAGCCCTCACAGCAGAATCATTCTCTGTCACTGAGCTGTATTTATAACCTCATCTATCAGCCAGCCCCGGGAATACATGACACTATTCTCTGGACCAAGACCACCAAACTGCCCCCTAGCCATACATTACGATAGGATGTATGTGGGTGTGTGCATACATGTGCACATACATCTGTGGTGTGTGTGTGTGTGTGTGTGTGTGTGTGTGTGCATGTGTGTGTGTGTGTGTGTGTGTGTGTGTGTGTGTGTGGGGGGGGGGCTGTGTTAAGCAGACATAGAAGGTCCAGCTCATTACAGAAACCATACAATGGCTCGCGGCTCCTGTCCAACTGTTACACTGCTACTGGAGGTCAGAGAAAGAGGTAGAGAAAGGAAAGAGGAGAAGAAGACAAAAGGGGGAAAACAACTGAGGAGAAATAAGATGGAGGCCAGTAGGGAGGCTGATAGAAAAAAGAAAAGGGCAGATATGAAAGAAGGGGATTAGAGATAGATCGGAGTAGAGGAGGTAAAAAAGAAAAACAGGAGGGTGCTCACGCTCGCTGTCTCTCTCTGCTGCTCTCTGATGATGAGAGCAGAGATCTATATCCTCTTCTGTCCAAGGTCATGGTTGTTACATGGGAGCAATCTCTCTGACTCACACATACACACACAGACGCACTTAATGAGGTATGGCCCTGCCGATAACTACAAGCAACCATTATGGATTAAAGCAATTAAACCAGAAGGGACCTTTGACCCAACATTATACCACAGTCAGGATCTTGTGTGAATCATAAGAAGTGTGTGTAAGAAGAGGGCATGCTTTACATATGCTTGCCTCTGCACTAACTGCTCGCCCTCATGTTAACCTTACAAAGCAATACAGCAATTCCCCCCAGTACCCTCAGGCCAATAATGAAAAGCTTCAAAATGTACTATAGTTCCAAGACCAATTACAGATTAAAGTACACCTCAAGACTATAACATAAACCACAGATGAGTCATGTTTTTTCCATGTTTTCTCGTTTTTCTTCGCAGTCTCAGCCCACTCTGGATTATTAATTCAATCATATATCCATTTGCATACAGTTTATAGGCAGAATTTGGAGTTAAACAATTAATTTACCTCTAATCGTATACTCTAATCAACATACACTTGCAGTGCAAGGTAGCACGGGGGCTACCGCCATGCTCAGAGTCAGAGGGAGAAGACAAAAATAGAAAGGAGCGGTAGTCTGCTCCTCTTCCCCACCAGGAATTTGCAAAAGGAGGATGCAAAAAACCACGCATGGATAGAAAAAAAAGAAACAACAAAAAGATAGATGACACATGTCATGCCCCTGCGTTTGAAGGGATACAGTAGGAGAGTAAAGAAGGGGTGAGAACGGCAGGACAAAAAGGGAACCATGGGTGACCTGTGAGCATCCACCCTGCTGTTACATCAGGATGCCCTCAGGGTTCAGACAGACGGTGTGTTGGGCTCCCTCTGCTGGTGCACAAAAACTCCTCCAATCCTCTTCCTACTTGTACTGTTGATAACAAAGACCTTTAAAGAGGATGCTCTCCATCACAACAACTTATGAATGAACCTATTTGCACATAGTCTCATGTTCCCCAGTCTGCAGTTAGCAGGACTTTCAAGACATTCTATCAATTCCCCCCGAAAGTCCAACCTCACAAACTGCCTTTTTTGTAAATGCCAACAATTTTGGAGCCGATCAATAGCTCTAGTACTAAACTAAGCTCGTTGACAGCTTAACACTATTTCCCTTCTAACACTATCAGCCCTATAAAGGGACTGTGTTCTTAATTGAGCCTTGAGAGCTGTATCTCTCCTTTTATGACAGCCTCGCTTCTGCTACTAGATATACTCAGAGGGAGGATTTCCTGGAATAACACGACTACCGAGATGCGTGGGTGGAGAATATGCGCACTCATAGACAAATAAAAGGCATACAAACACACACAGACACAGACACAAAGACACACACTGGCACAAAGAGCAATCACTCAGCTAAGTGTGCATTCACAGCAGGAAAACTTGCAGGCTGAAAGTAAATGCAGAACATGGAGTGACTGACAAAAATGGCTTCATTGAATTACTGTCCCATCAGGGCATGAGCACACACCCTCCATGCACACACGCACATGAGTTGGGCAATTGGCTTAAAGGTCCCAATTAGGCCAATAGTCTGACACAGCAGGACAGAGAAATAACCAGAGGACAAAAGACCAAGTGAGTCACATACTCAATGCCTGGCAGATTATTTGAAAAGTGTGTATTAGTAATGAAAAACCCCTCTGACCTGTCAGTCACCTCCAAAATTCTCAAGCTGAACATGATCCACAAATACACAAACACACACACACGCACACACACGTAGAGCAGCTCACAGATGCCCCTGCTGTGCGTTTATCTAAATCAACAGGAGTTTCCTTTGACTTCCAGTTGGTTTCATCATTCATGCTCATTTCAATGAATATTTCAACAGTGTGTTAGTGTCTCCCTGACATGCATTGTCTCCTGCTGTTAAAAAACTCATCCGCTCTCTTGCTCCTTGTCTATCCTCAGGAGCCTTTGTTCTGCGTGAACTCCTCTGGGCTGTGACATACATTCGGTGGGATGTATGTACACACAGCCTATACTGTTAAGTCAGCCAGGGACAGGAGAGCCCATCAAAATCTTGCTGTGCCCTGTCACTGTGTGCATGTGATTCATTTGACTGTTTGATCTATCCCACATAAGTCTGGAGTTTCGGTCTGTGTGAGTGTGTGTATGAGTGAGTGAGTGAGTGAGTGAGAAAATACAGAAAATGTCAATGAAAGGCGAATCATGCAGCTCACAGCAGGACTGTAGAGCTTTGTCGAGCTACAGAACAGGACTGGAGCTATGGGGAATACTGAATGGAATGATTCACAGAATGACAGTCAAGTCACAGCTGTATCATCTCCAGTCAGACTGTCTGACAGCCAGCTGGCAAAAACAACAGCACAGACACTTCCATTTTTAGCTCAAATAACCTCCAATCTGCTTTGTAATAAATGAGTAGCTGTGAATATAACTTGTGCACACTGTTTTAGTGCAACTTCATCCTCCCATTAAACAAGCCAGTGGCTCCCATGTTTCAGCCCACCAAGCAGTCAGCAGTAGTTAGTAAGTAAATGCATTGGCTAATTTCAGGCCGAGCATCGATGTTAATACAATAACTGAGAGAGGCTCAGCAGCAGCGTGTGACAAATTTAATGTAATTGCTGCTCCTCATTTGCAGACTGAGACAGTGGGATAAAAGAAAAACATTTATCAGTGTGTTATAATAAAGATATCTATAATTAAGAGGGATTTTGACAGAGATGTCAATGTTTGAGCATAATCTTTATAAGTTAGACTACTTTAATGCAATAAAAATAGTTGCACAGATTAATAAAATGTGAGGAAGCTTTCCAGATGTCAGAAAAGTGAAATGTCCACATCAGCTTTATCTATCTTCAGCATGGCAGGGTTGCCTGTGTGTATATGTCATACAAATTTAATGTCAATATGCCCGGAAAAAGAAAAACGTGACGAACAGTTTTTCCCCCCTCACTCTCTCCCTCTCTCGCTCCCCCTCTCTCCGCTTTTCTTTATGCATGATTCATAACGGGAGCCGAGCACTTAACGGAGGAGTCTCCGCCGCTCCGCTCCGCTCCGCTCCGCTCCTTCCCCGGCGAGTGGAACCGCGGGATGGGGCTCCCCATCGGCCAACGCAGCGCACAACCCAAGGCATCTACCTCACACTCCACTATCAAGGTTTCACACAACCCACCTTCATTCTCCGGGTAATTCCGTAAGGCTCGACACGGCGACAGTGCGTGAAAAAGAAGCAGGGAGGACAGGAGGTAAAGGGATGGATAGATCCACAGGACGCGTGGTGGTGCCATTTTCAGGCTGCGCTGCGCCCTCGCTGCATCCCTGTTGGCGGTGTCGAGTCGGTGAGCGCAGCCCTGCGATTGAGGAGAGAGAGAGCAGGGGAGAGGACAGGAGAGGAGAGAGAGAGAGGGAGAGAGGGAGAGAGAGGAGGAGACGCTGGGAAGGAGGGTCCACAGCCTGCCAAGTCCTGTCAATCAGCCGCCTGGCTCTGGGGTGGTATTGAGGCCTTTGGAGACGCCTCACACTAGGTTACACTGTAAAATCTGAACAGGTGATTTAGCCTGATATTATGTAATATTATATTATATAATATGGTTTGTTTTTAAAAGGTTGAAAATTGGTAGATATAAAGAGAGATAAAAAAAACAACTTTTCCACTCCCCAACCAAACATTACCAGCAAGGACACATTCAATTGTCAGTGCTTCAAGGACACAATAACCAAAATTGCAATCTCCTCCAAGGCCATCCTAAACTGAAAGCCATGTACAATGTAGTTTCAAATGCAACAATAACAGGCTATACATGTCACAGCATAACCAAACCTCTAATGGGACAGATGATTCTAAGCACATTTTTGAAATGTTTTTGCCTATTTATTTTTGGAAAGAAGATGCAGAAAACGTATTGAAAAAAAAAGATTTATTGTAGTGTATTTCTAACAAACGAATATTCAACTTATTTGAGAACAAGTAGTGTCAGCTGTGTATTCCATCTCCCTTTCAGGAGTAGCGAAAGCAAACTTAAAAGATCATGACCTTGTTATGATATGGTAAACACCTTCAAGTTTATCTTTTTTTGATTCCCTTTGGGCCAATATGAAATAAGCCTACAATATGTTAAACTATTTAGATGAAATAGAGTAAAGATGGGTTTACCTAGAACCATATTGCAGGGAGGAACAAACCACAACAAAGCCAGCCATCTCATTACTGATCTAGAACTGTTCTGAACAGAATAGTCTGGGTAGCACCGGGATAAACACTCCTATCTCACTGTAGAAAATACTGTCAATTATTTTGATAAGCGGCATGGCCACATGGCAATTACTGGATTAGTGTCAGCTCAGGCTTGCCTCTCTGTCTTTGCCCAGTTGTTGATATGGTTTCTGCAGATGCTACCAGCAGTAGACAACACTGACATGCACAACAGATTCTAATCAAACACTTTATGGAGATTTATTCTGCCTATATTAGATGTATTTTACAGTGGTTTACACATCAGGAATATGTGTGTGTGTGTGTGTGTGTGTGTGTGTGTGTGTGTGTGTGTGTGTGTGTGTGTGTGTGTGTGTGTGTGTGTGTGTGCGTGCGTGCGTGTGCGGTGTGTGTGTGTGTGTGTGTGTGTGTGTGTGTGAATCTTGCTGTTGGTATATCTCAAGTGGACTGTGCATGAATGACTAACATGTGCAGCCTGTCATGTGAAGTGTGCGAGGAAGAGCTGAGAGTGTGCAGGGTCAACCTTTCAAACTTCCTCTTCTTTAACACAGCCTATTGCAATGAGTTCATGTGGCAAAACCCCTGCCCTCAATGGGAGGAGATTCCTTGAAGAGGGACATGTTAGTGGGATAGTGTTTGGTATGCGTTTGTGTTCATATACAGAACTCTGCAGTGTCAGCCTCTCCATCAGTTTTATCACCTGTAGGTTGTGGTCAACAAAAAACAAGACCATACTCTTGAAACCAGCATCAGTTCATGGAGACATAGGATACAAAAGGAAATTTGCTGGCAATTAATTGAGATCTATGAAAGATTTCTACCAATAAGTCCTTATTGGCAACAGATGGAGGTGGAATGTCAGTAAAGGCTCAGTGTTTAGGATTTAGTAGCATCTAGCGGTGTAGTTGCAGATCACAGCTCCCTCTCTTTAACCTCTCCTTCTAAGTGTGAAGGAGAAACTACCGTGGCTGTGAAACGTGCAAAAGACACAGTGTTTGGTTTGTCCTTTCTGGGCTACTGTAGAAACATGGCGGACTCCATGGAAGGCGACCCACGGCTTCTGTAGATGCAAACAAAGATAATGATTATACATGAAATAAAACATAGTTATGCATATTATATTCCATTTCTGTCAATAGACCCTTTCTAAATGTTACACATTGGACCTGTAACTTTCACTTTTACATTTTTTGAGATTTGAATTGAGGTCAGCTCAAATTCTAAATGGAATTGTTCAATATTTTGGGAAAATGTGTTTACTGCCACCAGCCTGTAATGTTAGCTTAGCATAAAGACTGGAAGCAGGGAGAAACAACTAGCCTGACTCAGTCAAAAGGTAATCAAATCTGCCTACCAGCAGCAGTAAAGCTCACTAATTAACACTTGTTTGTTTATTTCATACAAAAACCAGAGTGTAAAAACACCATGTGGTTTTACCAGGCCTTGTGCCAGACTATTTCTTGGCCAGGCGCAGTTACTTTCTGATGTCTAACTTGGTTGCTAAGCATATAATGTGTGAGGTATAACATGTTATACCCCCACTTTCTAGTCTTTGTGCTAAGCTAAGCTATGAATCTCTCAACAAGAGTGAAGGAGCATATTTCGCAAAAATTCAAAACTATTCCTTTAATTCTAACATTTGAGTACCTATTTTGGTGTGTCTCTTTGAATATAAATTGGGTGAAATTAGAACCTATTTTCATATCTAATTTGGCATTTTCTTGCTGTGAATGCTCAGGACAGCTGAAAGAATGGGGTAAAGACATCTCATAGGTTACCTGATGCACCGAGATTTTTCCCCTGCAGCCTGGAGGCAAATGTGATGTAACCACGCCGTGATTTATGGAAGGATCATGACCACAATTATATTTACCACGAGCAACGTTCTTCTATCACGCTTCTGTCTCAAATGAGGCTCCTCAAAGAGCTATAAAACTGTCAAACATACCCTGATTTATGCTGAAATTCTGTTTTACCCCCTCTTGGCAATGTGTGTATAGAGTGTGTGTCGGCTTTTGTGTTTTTTCTTGTGTGTGTGTGAAGTAGCTACCTCCACAGATTTGTTAAGGGTCCAATTATGATGATGATTTGTTCCCTGCAATGGCTTTACTTGGATGACCTAATTTCCTCATTGAGTGTGGGGAGAAGAAAAAAAAATACTAGTCCCTTTTTTCTTCTCCTCCTTCTACGCACTCCTTCCTCTCTTTTTCTTTCTTATTCTTCCCCTCCTTCTTCTTCTGCTGCCATGACGCTGCATTCATCCGTATGGTGACAAAACATTGCTGTCATGCATTCCAGCAGTGACAGCGTGACACAGCCCCTTAAACCCTTGTCACTCCCTCTACCACACTCACACATGCATGCACCCAAACACACACACACACACACACACACACACACACACACACACACACACACAGACACACAGACACACACATAAACACACACATATCCTGCATGCCTTGTGGAAGAGTGATCTCGCCAGCATAAAGCACCGCTTTTGCATAATGACATTTCAAGGCTGCACACACACACACAAATACATGCAGTGACACTCCACTGACAGAGCTGAGCGACAGAACAAAAAACATTTGAAAACATGTCATGTGTTTTCCTATGCCCTTCTACACATAACTCTATCTGCCTCTGTCGTTTTGCAACATTCACTCTCTTGACTAAAGCTTATAGAATCTATTTCCACAAGGATGTACTCATCTCTTCCTAGCCCTTTCAGTCATTTTAAAAAGAGTTCTTCTTTCATTTGTTCTCCCTACTCTTTCGACCTCTAGATTCTCACCCTTCACCCTGCTCAGCCTGAATGGGTCAGCTACTCACTTTATCAGTTTGGTCAGCTAACCATTTTCTCTCTCTCTCTCTCTCTCTCTCTCTCTCTCTCTCTCTCTCTCTCTCTCTCTCTCTCTCTCTCCCCCTTAAACACACACCCAGAGAGAAAATCAGGGACTGTAACAAAATAAAGATGAAACTTAGATAAGCGCAACAGGCAGCACAGCAAGACTGTGTGCAAGTGTGTGTGTGTGTGTGTGTGTGTTGCATGCATGTGCCATTGATGGCAATCGGTTGTTTGACAAGGGGCAGAGGTGATGACAGGGTCGTTTGCCTTGCCAGGAACTCCCCCCGTAGCCACCACTCTCTATATACACACACACCCTTAGCCCTATTCAAAGCCACTCACTCATGTGGTAATGTCTCTATTGTGACAGCCTGAACGCTTTATGGGCAACAGCTTGGTGCTGGCATTTGGGCAGAGGCATTAGTGTGCATATGAGCATGTGCGTATGAGTGTGTGTATGTGCCTGTGTCTGGCTCATCCGCTACGGAATCTGCCCATCTAGATGTTGGAAGCATTGAGACCTCGACTCCCCTGCTCCAGACCGGTGACAGACGAGCAGAGAATTGCAGGACAAGGGATGGGAAGCAGGGGCAGTCTCAAGCAGGAAGATTAAAGGACAAGACCGCACACACACACACACACACACACACACACACACACACACATCATTCCACTTCACTCCACTCTTACTTTGCTACTGCCACCGTCTCAGTTAAGCAGGCAAGAGCAATTCGTCATGTCAGAGAGCCCTGGTGCTGCCATACAACAAAAGGTGAAAGGGAGTGTGGGAAAGGGCTGGTGCACAAAGCCCTCCCTGCCCCCGTCTGTCTCCCCCTGTCTTGGTTGCATACGCGGGCCGAGAGCCCCTTCGGCATCCCCCACCCTGAAGTCTTCCAAACCCCCATCTGCGAAAACACAACCAATCTCCCATAACCTATACATCTACATCCTTAGCTTACGTGGTCATTTTGCCGCGCAGTACGCCGTAACTCAGGAGCACGGCTACTGCCAAGAGCGAGGTTACAATTTTCACTGTGGCCACCAATCCTTAAATGTCTGAGTTCATAGATAGTGGGCACAGAATATCTCAACATCAGGTCTCTGGAGCCTCCCCCCCCCAAAAAAACCCTTTAACTCAGTCCAGACAGCCATTTAGCCAGAGAGATAGAGGGATGAAGAGACGGACAGACGGAGGGAGGGAGAAAGAGATAAAAACAGCTATTCAGAGAGGAAATTCTGCCAGTCCCTGCCAGCTCTACCCACAAGAAGAGAGCGGGAAGGAGAAGGAGGATCTCCTTGAGAGTGACACCAGCTATGCAGACAGAGCAAAA